TGGGGGGGGGGTTATGGAAACAGTACCAGAACGGGATTTATAAAAAAAAAGAAAAAAGGTTTCATTTAACTGTGTCTTTTTCTCATCACATTCAGGTAGAGAGAATCTCAGCAGTATGCAGACGGCGTGCAAAAGTCCCTCTAGATGATAGGCTGGAAAGGACCTTACCATGTGTCTGCAGAAGGCTGGCAAATCAGAGAGACTATAGGTACATAAGAGCCCGCTGCCTAGCAACCACATCCCGAGCCGGAGTTGACAGAATGATACGCAATGCTGTCATGAAGACAGTCAATTTGTGGGCTTCAAAAAAGGTCCTGCGCCTTCATCTCACAATTAAAACCTCTCCTTGTGCAATTACACGTCTCTCCTCTTGCCCACTCTGGAATTTTTTTCTTTTTTTTTTTTTTTTAATCCTTCAGAAGCAGGAAGAGAGCTTTTTCTGCCCCTGGGGTATTTCAGATGCTTCAAAAATCACAGCTAGCCAAGAAGCTGTCTAGACTCTCAATATGCTCCATTTCAAAATATGAGTCCTACCCTCCCAAACACTTTTTTTTTTTAATTTCTCCTTTTATGTTTTCTCTACCAAGATGTTGTTGATTACAAGTGAGATAGAATTTAAAAACAATAAAAGAAGCCCAGAAAGGAAGTTGCCTTTCTTCCAGCCAAACTGCAAAAAGTCACAGATTGAATAATTGCTCACAAAACAAAAAAACAAGATGGAAATTTGAAGTTTGTGGGCAGTGTTGAGTATTAGAGGTTCACGTTGTTTTCAAGTAAAAAATTCAAATCCTTTTGGAATCGTTTTCAGTTTCTAAAAGGTCAGATGTAAAATACATCACAGCAACAAAAATTTTCTAAGACAGCGCTACCTACCAACAATTATCCATTCATATTAAGGTATTCTGAAAGAGCATAAATGGCCTAAGCATTAGGCAGTTTTATTTATTCCTCAGTAGTCAATAATTTAAACTTGAAGCTGTCGATCGGTTTGTGTTCAGAGAGGAAATAACAGGATTGAATTCTCTGTCACATCAAAGTGCTTAAAATTAGTTTTGCGAGAAAACACCAAGGCAAATACAACTGTGAACAGGCAACTCTTTTCCCCCCCGCCTTGTTTTTCCCCATTTTCCCCTCTATTTTCTTGAAACTCCTCTAAACACAACTTCCATTCCAATAAAGGTGGTTTTAGTGAAAGAGCCACATATGGTGATTAATAAAAACCTACAAAGCATTTGGAAAAAAAACAGTTTTTCTTCCCATCCACCAACGAGCCATGCCATTTAATTTCTGCTGTTAATTTTACAGGGCTGCTTTTGTCCAACCCCAACAGCTACCAAAAGGCTCAGGAGCCTGAAAAAGCGATCTTCCGCCATATAGCAATCTCCCTTGTTGCCAGAGTCTGGCACAATGCCTTTGCATTGACCTCTACAGCTTCCTCTTCCAATGTACACCGCAGTCACATGGTCCCAGCACAGCTCCATGCCACAGCTAATCTTATACACCGCTCTGCTCCAACCTCAGCAAGCGGCTTCTCATCACTAACAGCTGCTAATTTGGGGAACGACTCAACTTTTCAGGTTTTGCCATGACCAAATAAATAAATAAATAAATAAATAAATAAATAAATAGAGAGAGAGGGAAAAAAGCCATAACACAGCATCCATGTTGAAAGACATCTAGAAACTACATCCCGCTACGTGCTCTGGTCACAGCTCTCTTCCTTCAGCACCCTGGGCCAGAGCTGGTAAAGTGGGTTACAGGACCACAACCCCAAGTAGGGCACGGGGGGACAATCTGACCAGAGTTACACCTTGAAAAAACAGGCGACGCAAAAGATGCCCCAACTTTAATTTTTTTTTTCCACAACTGCTAGCACATCCAATCCCTGCATACTCCAGTTTATCTCCCTGCACAGCCTCAGCTAGGGTTTTAAAACATGCAGCTGCTTGTAATCTGTTGTGGGGGAGCTTCCCTTCCCCACTGAAGAGTTTGTTTTATGCTCTCCACAAGCCTGAAATTGTTCAAGTTAACGTCTTGTTATTTTGGAGGAAGGATTTGCGGTGCGGGGGAAAGGGCAACTTTCCCCCCAAAAATCTAGGGACATTTGTTAGAGAAATGATGCGAAGAAATATGGAGTAACTTGCGAACTCACAGGGAAGAACAAACAGAGAGATCCCCCCAAAAGCGAGAGAGGGAGACGATACAAACGAAGCTAAACCACTAAGCAAACACAGAGAGCTGGGAACACAGAAACAACACAGAGACACCGCTCCATAAGCCAGCGCAGATACCACACTCCCAGGCAAACCCACAATGCACTCGCCACGCATAGCTACAAACCCGCAAGCAAACAGAGAAACAAAGACAGCGACGGACACGCCGGGATGCGAACGCGCACACACACACGGAGGCAGGGGAACGCAGAGGCGCAACGTTACATGCACATGGACTCGGGGGGAAGACGCGCGAGCACACGCAGAGGCAGCATTACCCTGAGCTTAGCTCCTTTTCTCTCGCAATAGGTACAGCACACCATACGGCTCTATTCCCTCTGGCATTGCAAGGGCTCCCCTGCCACTGAGCTCAGCCCATAAACCACTCCCAAACCCCAGCAGAGGCTTCTGTTTTTTGTTCGGGCCAATGAGAAAAGTATAGCTCACTCTTCCTTCCTCCCAGGAGCAGCGCCGGCTGGTTGAAATCCCTAAGCCTGAAACCGAATACCACAAACCCATGAGCCAACTGCAAGTGCCAAAGCGGGGAAAAGGAGCAGGCCCCGCTCTCTGCGTTCGCTCCCTCCTCTCCCCCAGGCGGGAGAGGTGCTGCCAGGCGAAGGACGAGGGAGGCTGCGGCGGTCCCCGCCGGCACCCCGGGGTCCCCCCTCTCCCAGGCCTCGCCTCACAGCATCTGGAAGCGGGAGCTGGGCGGACGCAGCAGGAAACAATAGCTGCCTTCGGGCGACTCCGCACGCTAACGGCCTGACCCGCACCGAGCAACGCTCCCACACTGGGGCCCTGTAACCGACAGCCACAAATTACGCCGCAAGACAAAAGAAACCATTGTCACCCGGGAGACACGGGGCCAACCCGCCCGGCCCGTCTGCCGCCCCACCCCCGCCGCCCCCCGCCGCGGGGCTCCCCGCCGGCAGCGAGCGGCCTCTCCTCCGCAGGGAGAAGGCCCGAGGGCTCCTCCGCGGGGAGGGCCCCTGCAGCACCCACCTCCGGCCGCCGGGGCCGGCTGTGCCCATCGAGGGGCCCTCCGGAGCCCAGGCCAGGGTGGGACGCACGCCCATGGCCCCGCCGGGGACCGGCCTCCGCCACCAGCCCCGCAGCCTCCCCGCAGGCACAAACGCACCCGGCCCCCTTCCCCTCCTCAGGAGCGGGGCGGCCCGGCTGTGGTAACCAGCGCTTCCAGTACAAAACCCGTTCAGCGCTTCCAGCCTGAAGTAAAAGCAAACCACCACCTATCGAGACCGAACAGTAACTAATCATTAAACAGCGTGCGCGTACCAGGCGCTTCAAAAGCACATGAAAGACCCGGCTCCTGCCCTGAGGGGGTTGCGATCTGAGTCAGTCAGACAAAAACAACACCCGAGATAAGAGAAAGCCTATTTTCTGCGATGCGCCAGAGATGTTGTGAAGCGACTGCAAACTATGCTCGCGGATCACGCTGGGACTAAAGTAAGTGGCAACGCTTCCCTCGTCCCGCCCTTGCCCAGGTCCCACCCGAGGTGAAACGCCAAGCTTCGGTGTGCGCCGGGTGGGCTCACGCCGGGGCCTGCCGCTGCCGCGAGCGGGGACCTCAGGGGGAAAGCGTTATTTACCTTCCAGCCGTCAGATTTTTGGCATTAACGGCCCACATAGAGGATCAGCAGAACTGCACCCAGCTACCATCTCAGGCTGCCTGCAAACCTCGTTGCTGCGGCGTATGTTCAGCTGCTGCTGGGAAGGTTACCTTTGAACTTTAAAAATGAAGAGGCCTCTATTTTTTTTTTTTTTTTGATTGGAAGCTTAAATTTCTGAGAAGGCACCCGCCACCACAAGGAAATGAACCAAGCTGCCAATTCACAGCGAGTCGGGGCCGTCTGCCCCTGGAACAGCAGTTTGGTATCGGTGAGAACATGACTTGTTTCTCCATCCTTGTGACATGGCTGTTCATCTCCAGGCTCACCACAAACCATTTTAAATGCCGGTGCTTATTTCAGTTACACATGTGATGCTGCAAATCCTCCAAGCTCTACACAAAAGAGGATTTGAGACTAACGCACTGACTTAAAGACATTAAATTTTATTTACTTTGCTAGCTTGGAAAGTTTTCATGAGAATTTGAGCTTATTGGTCTAATTTTCTTGTACTTAATTATATTTATAGACTGCTTTTGTATCAAAAGCAATTCACAAATGACATACGAAGTGCATATGAGTATCTCACATGCATAAAACAGTGCCAGGTTGCGTTGTGGGACCTGTGAGCTCCCTCAATTCAAAGGGCAATCTCTGTCTCCAGAGGCACACCCTCAGCTTCTAATTAGACCAGAGCTCAGCAGAGCATTTTAGCATCTGTTTAAATCCATCCCTACTTAGTAAAGGAATGAATAGAAAGGAATGGATGGCTGAATAACAGCCTAGGAGAGGGAAAATAGGGCTGACTACATGGTAACAGACCATCATCCTTCTGTGAACAGGAACAGGTAGATGTTTCATACAAGATACCCCATCCTTAACTGAAGGACGGCAGCAATATAAAGACCTATTATAGCAGTGCGTAGATATTTTAAGTAATAGGAAGAATTTTGAAGGTAAAAAGTGTGTTGTAGTGACTGAGGCTTTCGTTTATCACTTGTTCCATAGCACAAACATTATCAAGTTCTTAGAAGTGCCTGTTGCTATTTCTATACCTGTCATGTCCTGGCACACTAGCTATTTCGCTGCCACTGCTTTGCAAATAATCTTGCAAGGCTACGAACACAAAACCTAATAAAGAGGATAATAATTTCAGCAGGGCTATCCGTTTTGATAAACAAGAAGTCAAATTAGTACTTTGTTTGGTTTGGTTTGGTTTGGTTCAGGTTCAGCTGTATCCAGATTGCTTCTGTCCTGGTTGAATTTAAACAGAAAACTAAATCTGAGCTTGTTTTGAGCTACCTGAAAATGGTTATGGTGCACCATGACGAAAGGAAGCAGTTCTGAGTCCAGTTCAGTTCCCTTTTGTCAGTTTCCTACCCTTAGGATTTGTAGTACCACAGATATCTGAGGTGACATAACAAGCTTCTGTCCCTAAAAGCTGATGTTAGAACAGCACTGCCTTTTCCTCCTGCCCTGGCTCCTGGTTACACAGCACGCTGCCTGCTCTCAACCAGGCTCCCATGTTTGTGAGGCTCTTCGCAGGAATTTGCACCCATGGATGTGAAAGAGGGTAGGCAGGAGCAGGCTTCCTCGGTAGCAATGAGCTGCTCGCTCTGCTCACCCGGTGTCTTGTGGCCCTGCACCTTGCGAGAAATGCAGAAGGGGTTTGTCGGTGATCCCACTGCTATGTTTTTTCCACACTTCTGCACTGCCCTTCAGTTGGCGCAAGCATTTATGCAGCCATGTGGTGGTTTGGATGGCCTGAAAACTAACCATTTTTTCTTCTTTATTCCCGAGTTGGTTTTCAGCCAGACCAGTCCCTAGTCCAGTTTACTCTGCAGCTGCACAACAGCATGTTCTAGCAATGAGGATGGGACAATGTGGGCATGGGACTGTTTTTTCAGGGGCAATGCCAACTTACATCAGTTTGAAGTTTGTCACACTACAATCTTAGCTAGCCATCCCCTTATTTTCTCATGCTGTCTTACTGCTTAAGAGGTAGTACTTGGAAAGTTTTACATATTTTTGACACAAACTGTTTCCCCACTTAATTCAGTCCTTTAAGGCTCCTATTAGGTATGTAGTCATTTACTTACAGACAGAAAAATAACCTCATTACCCAGAATTTTTAAAAAAAGTTAATGGTGCAAGTCCAAGTGAAAGCCAGGGCGGTCTCCAGTGCATGTAGTGCTCCTGGTAACTAAAGCAGCGCAGCAGATGGAGCGTTCTCTAACTTCACTCCCAGCACGGAACTTGACGTGCAGAAGCCAAGACAGACATTTGTGTCTGGTAATGCCATCTGTGTCTGCAAAACTGCAACGCTTTCACTGGAGTGCTTTTTGTTTGTAGGGAACACGTTAATGGTGGGTATTGCATACTGCAAACTCTTAGTATTATGAGATGCTAAGAACAAGAATGAAATGAAACAATCCCATTTCTGAGCAACAGTCATTAATAAAGCATATGAATATTGATGATTCACATAAAAGAATGGGCAGCATGAAACAAGTGACAGCACTGACATTTAGCTCCACAATTGAACACAATCTCTTTAATAAGGGCTTATACCCTCTGGGTACTCACAGCAGTAGCTGTGACTAGTATCTATACAGGAAAGGGTCAATCTGAATTTCCAAAGATGGAGAAAGCTAATCTCTTGAGGAGTTCATATTAAAACTGGGCAAGTTCATGGAAAAGAAATCTCTTGAGAGTCACACACACAGAAACCACTTCCACCTCAGGACAGCCCCTGCCTGAACTGCAGACAGTGGAAGTTCAGAAGATAATTTTAAGAGGTGGCATCATTTTATGTTTACTCTGTTCTTACACTCCTCCCAGGGCATCTATGACAGCACCCAACAGCAGACAGGTTACTGAGCGCCACGGATCTTTGTCCTGATCCAGTACAACTTCTCTTGTGCTCTAGACTATCAATGTTTGCTATTGCTTTGTTGCTTCTTCAGACCGATGAGGGTTTTGTGCCAACAGTGCTGTAAATCAGCTTTCTCTAGTCTTTATGCTAGATGATGCTCACTAGCAACATCCTCATCACTCCAGCTGCATCACCCTTGCCTTTAACTCTCATGCATGGTAACTCCTTTTCCCCACATCAAACTCTATTGTCACATTTCAAGCGCTTACAGTCTTTCACTGTTTAGCTTCCCTCTACCTATCACATCTACTAGTTTATCAAGCTGTCAACCTCCACCTTCACTTTGCCAGTGACAGCAACCTCAATGGCTCTGTGTCTGCTTCTCTATCAGGCATCTCCTTCCTTTCTACCAGGCCATCCCCCACACATGGGAATAGCTCCATATCAAAATCTGTTGAATTGCTACTTCTCTAAAATCCCTCTTTGAAACCTACCATCTGGCATTTCATGATGCAAGTAGTGAACTGCAAGAATATACTCTGCTTTTTCTGCTAAATTCTGTTAGTCATGTTGCTACCTTATCCTTTAAACCATCTCTGCCTTACTTTGTTTACTTGCTACATTTTTTTCAGCATCTGGAGTGTGCCTGCTCTAGGAAAGGGATAATTTTCTTTACTTCTTACCTTGTACAATCCATGAATCCTGAAGCCCTGAATCATGACTCAATTTCTTAGCTCTAGCAGATTATAAATAATGTTATTTAGTAGACTAACTGCTTGAGAAGCAAGTTGCCCGAGTTCTGTTTTCTGCTCTGCCACTGGCTTATTGTGTGACCTTAGGCAAGTCACTTAGGACATTTCCAAGTGCATATGTGAAATTTGGCACTCTTATCTTTATCTAGTTGTCAAAACAAGCAGCTTACTCTTTTCAAAACGATAGAGTGTCTTTAACTTTCATTGAAATCAATGGTGCTGAGCATATCATAGGACCAGGCTTCCCCATGATGCCTGCCACAGAGGCTCTTCTATTATGGAGACCTTTACCTTCCAAAATGTTTATTTTTACAGAATGAGAGTAAATGCTGCATATCGCTTTCTGACTGCACACTCCTTTGTATATGTTAGTACCAATCTATTTTAGACATTACAGTTTTGAAAGAGTTCTGACCAATTTGCAAAACACTAGAGGTCAGTTCAACAGCAGAGCCTTGGATGCCGCCAGCATTAGGTCTGGCCAATAGAAAATGCCTCTAAAACAGAGACAGCAGTGAAGGGCTTCCAGGATTATATGATGTTCATCAGCCATACAGGTCAATAGCTATTACAGCATTAACAGTAACCCCTATCTCAGTTGTACTAATTCCTATGAAACTTACAGTGCGCATTTTCAGACCCCCAAAATAGTTCCTTCTTCCAATCATCATATAAAAATTTTCAAGGAAGACATTCAAACAGAAGGAACAGTGAGGTGAGGCTATGCTATCACAACTTGCCCAGAAACTAGAGCCAAGATAGGCAGAAGCAGGACAAACTGCTCTTGTGTTCGGTCTCAAACCTGCCCTGAGTGGGTCCTCTGAAACACAAAACACAGCCTATATAGTCAGTCCAGTATTTGATTTTGCTGTTGAAAAAGTCAAAAGTAAACTGGCATGAAGGGCAGTGACAGAGTTTTTGTGGAGAAACACTCCTATTAAAAATGGACTTCAGGTTCATTTCACAAAACATCTCTCAGCTAATAACTTTTCAGCCATTAGTAGTTTAGAACCTGGGAGGGATCTGAACCCAGCCTACAGAAGGACTTTGACTACACTGTGTGAACTGTATGACATATCTGTATCCTGTGAAGTGATTTCTTTGGGTAGCACTTGTGGCGAAAGGTCAGTCTGCCATTTTCAAAACAGAGTTGCTCAAAACTAAAAAATGCACTTTTCAAAGAGATTTGATTAAGGATTCTATTCAGCAAACTGTAAAAGGAATTAATCAAGGAGGTCAAGAGTAGAGTTTTTTAAAGACTTAAACTTACTTTTTCACTTTGGGGTATTTCATCTCTGAAAGAGCATTGGTAGCATCCGTCTGTCTCTCCTTCAAATGCTGCGGCCACATATTATCCACCCAGTCGACTAAGTCCACCTGAAAGCCCCACCAAAATCAACTGTTAATTACTGAACACATGGTAGGATAGACTCCTGTTGACTAAAACTCTAACAGTGGCAGCAGCAGCAGACGCTCACAGACAGCAAGAACCTTGCTGTTCAGCAGAAGTCCTATGGACCCAACTTGTTAAGGTGCAGCACTTCATCACCACAACTCAGTCCTTTGCAACCCAGAGTAAGGAGAGTTTTGCAGTCAATTTAACTGGGTGCAAATTCTGTCCTGTAGGCACCTGTGAGCCCCTTCTCTTGCAGCATCACCAGGCTGTCTGTATTCAAATGCATTTTTGTAGCCAACAGCCTAGAAATTGCATTTATGAACATTAAAATACAAACATCAAAGAGATTATACTATTCCAATACCTTACATTTCAAGGAATATTAACACCATTGTTCTGGCCAAATTCTGATTTGAGTAATTACTGTATTGCCTACTGTGCACTTTGTTCATTGTTCTACTTGGGTATAAAATTCACCAAAGTTCTTGTCCAAAAGCCAAACTTTCAGGAAGTGTGGGCAAGAGAAAACAGCAAAAGCCGAGCAATTGGAAACATACTGCCAGCAAGGTGAGGGAGAGGTGCAAACTGAAGATTGTTCAGGGACATTGAAACACAGCTCCTGCGCTGTGTGCCAGAGCACAAACCACAGTCTGTCCGTCACAGCCACAGCAAGAACAAGCCTGTGACTCATTCTTTGGTTTGTTTTATGATGGAGCCTGTGCTAGATATCCTTAACACTCCCCTCTGGTTATGCAAGTGGATCACATGTGCCAGGTTTCAAAACGGGAAAACACCAGTCAACTTGGGAAGTCCAACAAAGCAGGCTGTAGTGCTGCGTTTGGCCACAGTGTGGCTGTACATCCTGACCCAGCTCAAAAAATCACGATGTGTGAACGAACCTCCATTTGTGAGTCAATAAGGGCTGCAAGACCTATCCTAGGCATTGGTGACAAAGCTGTCCTCTGACTGCGTGCAGCAAGAACGGAGAAGTCCAATTCAGTCATGGTTAGCACACCACTTAGACTCCTGACTGCTAAATCTTTATAAAGGCCCAGCCAAGAATGTTACTGGTATGAGGCAACTCAACTGTTTGTGTCCCCAGAGGACTTTCATAACAGGGCAATTAGCACATGAAATTCAATTCAAATGCAGATTGGGGCTGATCCCTATCTATTTCTGCATCTGCATCAGGTACTGTTGATAACACACACAGTACTTTGAGAAGAGGCAAAAGGAGATAATGCAGCCAGTAGAAATAGGACCAATTCCATGAATATCACTGTTGTATGTGAAAATAAAATTGATGGTTACTGCCCTGATTCTGAAATAATTCCCACATCCTGACATTGCAACCCACAGTCTTTACACAACACGGAACATGAATCTAGTATTTCTGCCTTATGTGTGCTCAAAAGAGCTCTGCAGAATTCAAGGAAACCACTTATACGAATTCCACTAGTATCTGACTTTAGGTACTGGACTTCCTCTCAGCACCCACTTCCCCAGCACCCTCTTTTCTATTCCCAATTACCTAATGGGAATGCAAATCTCTCTTTCAGTGAGATCTAAATATTCCTTGGTTTACAAACTATTGTGCACTCAGGCCATATTAAACAGATATGAAGTATTAATTTACACTGGTAACGGGTATCTAATTGCATTTTTCAGTTCTGAGCACCCAGGAAATTTGCACAGATGTTTTTAAAGCTCACTGAGCATGATGTACTTGGGAAAACCAGGATCAGTTGAACACCAGAAGCTCCCCAGAGAACTTCCAAACTGTCTGCTAGCATCTGAATGACAGCAAACACCTGCACAAACTTCTAAATATGTGCTTACTGTTCAATTTGTGATATGTGCACAACAGAACACAAAAGCCTACTTAAGAATTACTTCTAGAAATCAGCAATTAGAGCTGCCATCTATTTTTGACCTGTTCAGACAGAAGTGTGGTGTTTATATTGTCCGCATAGTCAAGAGATGGCCCCAGTGAAAAAACTGCTTGTGTAACTAGAATAGCATTTAGAAATGAGGAGAAAATTGTCTGAAAACAAAATATCATTGAGCTATAGTTTCACACCCAGCAGTACCTTCAGCATCCAGTGCCACGAGTAGATATGGAGGGAACAAGCAGCATACATGTTCTACTTTGAGAAGTCCCTTTGTTCCCTGATCAACCAGGACCGATGCCCAGACTCTCTGCTGAGTGTCCTGAGAAGACACTCTAACATCTCCAATGCCATTTCCTCCATCACTGTGTATTAGTGAGTTGATGCTCTAACCCTTACCCACACATGGCTACGTTTTAGTGATAAATGAAATCATCTTTATTAGTAAGGTCATGGTTTCACTGCCAGTGACTCCATTGGGAAACAAAGTCATAAGAGCCCTCTATCTTTAAAAAATGTGTACAAATCTACCACCTTCCTCTGACATTGCCAATTCTGACATAGCAGTGATTATGCTGATTTATTATTATTTATTTAATGATGTATAAATTTCTAAATTTAATACATGTGTTTTCAACTTTTTTGCATTGGAGCCCCCTGAACATTTTTTTAGTTAATAGGAAGGTTCATATATAAGGAATTTAAGCTTCCTGATAATTTAAGCTTCCTTAGAGGAGGAAAAACAATAGATAGGTATTTAATTTTGGATGGAATCTCCCCTAAATACCTTGAGAGGAACTGGGTATCTGTGCAAATTGCATGATTAAGAGCTGATCAGGTACCCAATTCCTGTAAATTAAGTTCCACTATCAAGGAGACCAGCTTTCTACCTGGGTATAAATGAGATCCTAACACCAAATAGACAGGAGTTACAGGTACTTCATATCAGCTTGTTTAAACTCCATGTTTTATTTCTTACAAAGCAACCGGTAACTGGGAAGAAGCTGAAAATAAACACCATCACCACAGGATCCCTTACCACATTGGGGCGTTTGACAATGTTCTCCAGCTTTGTGTGACTGAACTCCAGGCTGATGACATTGTAGAGTTTTTCACGCTGGGCCTCTGGTGTTTCATAGTATCTCACAAATTGAGACATGCTCATTTCAACACCTTTCTGTGTGTTCACATCCATCACATCCACTATCCGTCGGCTTCCTGGAAACACACAGAAACAGTCTCAAAACATCTTCCTTGGCTTTACTTATATTTTTATATATATATATGTATGTATATTATTATATATATATGTATAAATTCTCAATAACTGGCGGGAAACTGTTATTAGAGGACAAGAGACCAGCATCAGTCCCTCTACAGGTCCTGAGCAGCTAAAACAGCGAGCAGGAAACTAACTTGGAACTGGACTTTTTGCCCAGTATGACACTGAACAAGTCAACTGGTGTCTCTGCTTCACAGAGATGGAGAGAATAGTTTCCTCCTTTACATGAATTGACATGACCAGAAGTACATTAAAAACTATGAAGAAGCAATATAAGATGGTAGCAGGGAGCATGCACGACAAATAGCTCTGCAAATCATACTCTGCAATTTTCTAAACATCCATACACTTCTCAAGTTGCTTTTACTCATGTACAAAAATTATCCATAAAGAGCAAACTGCCTTGCATCACCGGATGCTATAAACTGCTGAACACCTAATACAGATTGTTGAGTATTCTCAATTCCAGTCATCATCAATGGAGATGAAAGCACTAAATGCCATAGAAGAGTGAGCCCCCACTTTGGATCTCTCAACAAAAACTACAGGACATACTTTCAGCTTCTCAAGTGGCAGACATACAAGTCTCATTAGCACCAGAATGTTGAACAGCAGTTTTAGTCGAGCCTTCAGCTTTACACAGATTAATCCACAATCTTCTCTTCGGCCAACTGGAAGGTTTCACCTCTCCCAGCAATTTCATCATCCTAATTAGCAGTTCATTTGTGTGTGAGCAAACGGGAGCCCATGAGAGACATGCCTCATTTCCAGGAGAGAAGGATTCCAGCAAACAAACTCACACTGCTTCCAAAAAATGACTCCAAACCCATTTTCACTGCTGAAGAATAACTCGAAATAAATTGCATTAAAACAAAATGGAGGGCCGATATATGCCATCAGAGGGAATTATTAATAATTACAGCACCTGGCCTATTGTGTGCTTGGGAGCAGTATTTCAGCAAGAATGATAGTTTGGATTGCATCACTCCATTAAAAACATCCTTAGCCACTGATAGCAATGACAGTGACAGATGTGATAATGATTCTGGAAAGGAACTCAAGACCATAAAGCTTTGTAATCAAAAAGAAAAATTTATACAGTGTAAATCCCGAATAGTCCTACTGGCATGTCAGTCAAACTCTTCACTACAAGGCTGGTGAACAGGATTTCACCCTTAGTCTGAGCTCAGGACTGTACATAGTGTTGCCACCTTGAGGCAGGATGGGGAGAAAGTTTAGTTACGTGTGCAAAAGCACAAGAGTCCTTAAATTTGGTATTTACATGTTTGAAACAACATACATAAAATCTAGGTTTGGGTTGGGATTTTTTGTTGTTGTTTTTTTAACTGTTAACTTTACTATCTAGGGGGAATAGTCTTTTTTCAACTCATAGGTTAGCAACTGGGGTGAAGTCCTGTTAAACAGCTCCTGAAAAAAAGCCAGCCTAATTTCTGGCCTCCAGTGCCTGGGGATTAAAGCAACGGCTACAGCCCAGAGGGGTTAAGTACACAGACACTGAAAAATTATATTTGAAGGACTGCGTGGCAGAGTCTGGGATCTGCCATATTATAGTCTAGGTTTGATCTCAGCTTTGCTGGAAGCAACCTTGTACAGCCTCTCAATTACGCTTTCTGAAAGAAAAATCAGCAGTTACCTGATGAATTAAAAGTATGAGGCACAGTTCAATAGCAGGTTTGTTAAACGTACACTATTATCAATTACAGGCAGAAGAGCTAAGATTTGAATTAATAGTCTCTTGACTTCCAAATTAAAGAGTAATTTGAGAGGATGTTTTTCTCTTAAACCACAGTACTATCAAACAAGCCCATACATAATGTTTCCTGGAGTACTGCTCACAAAATCTGAGACGTATAATTACAGGTTAACAGCCTCGTGCTCGCTGCCCACTTCCTAGTGGTTCTGGCTTACTGCCAACTTTATCTCTTCTTTCCTGAAAAGATTCAGCTCTTTCTTCTATCTCCTGCCCCTAGGAGAAAGTTAAAAAATATCATCCAGAAGGAGAGACAGGTAAAGAACAAGGGAAAGAAGCACACAGAGGCTCCAAAAAGCAGTGGCAGGCTGAGAGATCTCATGTCAGGCTAGATTTCTGAACATCTCCAACATGCCTTTTACTTTATGTACCATTTCTGTTAACGATTTCCTAGATACCCTCTTGCCACAGTCTCACCCTGTCCTGTAAAAAGGGACCCCACTCAATCAAGCGTGATGCAGCCCACCAAGTCCCAGCAGGATCTCAGTAACCCTGGCAGCCTCTTGTCCTCATACGGTCCATATTCCTTGCTTCAGCTCATCACTCGCTGCGCATTGATTAACATATACCTGGATCCCTAGCTGGCAAAGAGCATCTCTTACTGCGGACATGGGAAGCTTCAGTACACTATCCATCACCTCATCCTTGGCTTCGCAGGATTTTTTCCAATATAACTCTTGACTGGAGAATGGCTGGACAGTGCGGGATTAGGAGGTGTTGTTTCCTCTCCGGCAGCAGGTGTGACTCAGAGGCAAAGTGGTGATGCTAGGGTTCACTGGAGGAAATGTCTTCCTCCTCTACTGCTGCTTACTCATCAAGCACAAGTGAATCCCCAAAGGATCACAAAGACAGTAACTAAGAAACAAGCTAGCGCCATCTTCGACAAGAGGAACAGACAAAAGCAAGAAGGAGAGGGAAGAATCAGTTGCAGAGACGTAAGCTGGAAAATAAAATCAATCAGGAAGAGCTACTTAAGAACTATGCTTCATTTGAAACCTTAAAACAAAAAAAATCAAGTTACTCCAGCCCACATATTAGTAAAATCCACAGTAAAATTAAGGGGGAAATAGCATATGTAATATCTGTTCCCTTTATTTAAAGGCCTAGTGACCAAGATGCTGTAAAGGTTTTAACAGGTTAAATTCTACAACATTGCTATATGCTGCAATATCATTATTTTTTTACATAAAAATGAATGCCTGGAGGAAAAATGACTTGTGCAGAGTCCTTGCCTCCCATTGCCCACCCTGTACAAGTTGGTTTGGCACAGAGATTTGTACCTCTCTCTTCTGAACTTCTTGGAAAAAAATACTTCGAAAGCAACAGAGAGGCAAATCTTGTTCTCCAGTCAGATAGAGAACTGCACTTCATGAATGCAAGTTACATAGGTATCTTCTGCACACCAGCAAGCACTTTCACAAATCACAGCTTCACCAAGTCCACCCCAGAGACTTCAGAAGTGACAGGCTCCAGCTCCGAAGTCATTCAGCAAAGCGCTCATCGATCATCCCTGCAGAATTTGCACCCACACTTTGCTTCACATATAGAATAGTGTAACAATTTGCCAGAGAGGGAAGAGAGAATGGGGAATTCTGGGACTATAATAATCTCCTCTGGGATCCACCAGTTGCCATTTCCCATTTCTAAAAAGGTGAAGCACTGCCTTCCCCTGCCTTGACCTGAAACAGCTTCAGACTTGCATTATCCAGGCTACCAGACACCAGTCTTCCAAATAGCCCATCCTTTCCCCTGATGTGGATTTAGCATTGATATTAGGAGCAGTGGGAGCAAGAGGTGGTCCATAAGTAAAGCAAACATGAACCACACAGTAGAATATGGGAAATGCACAGGAGGTGTGAATCAGAGGTAAAAATTACACCAGTGTTTTCCAGGCTGTTGTCTCTTCCACCGCGCACCACTGGCAGGAAAAGGTGCAACTCTCCCACCACAGAGGAAAGACGAAATGTCCTTTCTGTAAGAATGATTATCAAGGCTGTCCATTAAGAGGATAAAGCTACCTTGGGGAATTATTTTAACCCTTTGTGACTGAGTTAAGATCTGTGTCCGAGGTACAATACAGCATCTACAGAAACCAACCTCAAATGCCAAGGAACAGATCTGCGGGTCCTTTCTAATCTTTATGCTTCTTACTGGGAAAAAAGTCCTTGGTTTCTAAAGCAGGATTTTTGGCAGAGCCTTAGGAAATCTGCTAGCTTCACTAGTGGGTTAATTGTACCTAAAGACTGAGGCTTTGACTTGCATCCCAGTTAATCCCTCTGGAGCTCCCGGAGCTGGAAAGCACGTATTCCTCTGCTACCCACAGGAGACTATTATGATATCCCATACTAACTGCGAGGGACGTGAATCAGAGCAGAAAGTCCTTGCTCAAGTGGAGCTATTCAAGACGTTCCCTGCATTTCAGACCCAGGATAAGAACAACTTAAGAGACACGTACCAATACCATCGCTCCCAGATCCACCAGAGGGCACAGAAGAACAAAGGGAAATAAGAGTCCAGCTCGGACACTTGCACACATCTCTCCTGCACACCTCCTAGTTAGTTTTCTCACCCAGCATTTTCCCCAGCACAGCCTGGTCCACCATGAAACAAGTATCCCCAAGTCATCCAGCTCCCCCTTTGCAGTGCTCTCTGCTTTTCTTCTTTACACCCCCTCGCCCAGGTATCTGCCTGCCCCCCCCAGCTCCCCAGCACATGCCTTGCTGGCTGCAGAGCAGGACCCTTTTCAGTAGGGTTAAATTATTTCCTTCTTATGGAGATGTAAAGCTAGGAGTACCTGACATGTACCTTCCCCCTTCCTTCCCCCTCCTTCCCCTCTTCGGTGTCTGCAGCTTTATCATTTGGTATAAAACTGACAAATTGCAATAACCCACATTATTAGTTTTTTTCACGCAACAAAAGGTAAGGTATTTAGAGCATGTCCACAGGAAGAGCTTAAGCCAGCAAAAAGTCTTAACCCTTAATGCTATAGGACTAGACTAAAGAAGAGGCTCCCAGCAGATAATGTGTTTTAGTGGCATTATATAGAATCAATTAGTATCCTTACATCTACCCAAAACATAAACTGTAATTTTCAGTGACTCTTTGAAACTTCAGCCAGTGAAAACCACACGTGAAAAAAAAAATTCCATATACAGAGAAACATTT